GAAAAAAAAGGAAAGAAAAGGCCCAAATTCATGCAGTGAGGAATGAAAACGGTGAAATTATAACAAACCCATCAGAAATACACAGTTTCAATACCTACTTCAAGAACCTATACACCAATAATATAGAAAACACAGAAGAAATGGACAGATTTCTAGATACTTATGAATGACCAAAGTTGAATGAAGAAAACCTAAAATTTCTAAACAACCCAATATCAATCAGTTAAATTGAAAACAAAATTAAAAAGTTACCAATAAAGAAAAGTCAGAGTTCTTACGGCTTCACTGCTGAATTCTATAAGACATTTAGAGAATGATCCTTTTTCACATGTTGTTTGTCACATGTTGTTTGCCACTACTATTTAAACTCTTCAATGGAATTGAAAGGGAAGCAGTACTCCCAAATTCATTCCTAGAAACAAGCACCACCTTAATCCCAAAAGCAGAGAGAGACCCAACCAAAAAAGAGAACTATAGGCCAATCCCACTAATAAACATAGATTAAAAAGTCCTCGATAATATACTGGCATACACAATGCAGAAGATCATACACCCTGACCCAGGGATGCAAAGATGTTTCAATACATGCAAATCAATAAATGTAATACATGATATTAATAGAGCCAAGGACAAAACTATATGATCATCTCAATAGACACAGAAAACATTTGACAAAATCTAACACATATTTATGGTAAAACCCTCCAAAAAATTGGAATAGACTGTCTCTACCTCAACTTAGCAAAAGCCATCTATGAAAAACCAACAACCAATATCATACTAAGTGGTCAAAAACTAAAATCCTTCACAGTAAATCAGGAACTAAACAAGGATAGCCACTATCACCACTCCTGTTCAATATGGTTTTGTAAACATTAGTTACAGCAATTACACAAGAGAAAGAAAAGGAGTAAAGATGGGAACTGAAGAAGTCAAATTGTCATTATTTACAGATAACATGATACTCTATATAGAAGACCCCAAGAACTCCACCAAAAGTCTTCTACACATAATAACCAAATTCAGTAAAGTAGCCTGATACATGGTCAACACACAAAAATCAATAGCTCTCTTGTACAAAAACAACAGATTCACTGAGAGAGAAATGCAGCAAACAATTCCTTTCACAATAACTTCCAAAGAATCAAAATACCTAGGAATCAACCTAATGAAACAAATCAAAAACCTCTACTCTGAAAAGTATAGCACTCTGGAAATAGAGATTAAAGATGATATCAGAAAATAGAAAGACATCCCTTCCTCCTGGGTAGGAAGAACCAACATAGTGAAAATGGCCATACTTCCAAAGCTGAAATATAGATTCAGTGCAATCCCAATTGAAAATCCAGCAGCATACTTCACAGACCTTGTGATTCAGGAAAAAATTCAAACATCCATTTGGAACAAGAAGTGACCTAGAATAGCAAAAGCAATTCTAGTCAATAAAGATAAAGTATGAGGTATCACAGTAATGGTAGTGGCAAAGAAATAGACCTGAGGATCAGTGGAACAGATTAGAAGATGCAGAAACAACTCCAGACACACTCAGCCACCTCACCTGGGACAAAGGAGCCAAACACCCTCACTGGGGCTAAGATAGCCTCTTTAATAAATTGTGATGGATAAACTGGATTTCAACTTGCCAAAGATTAAAACTAGAGCTGTATCACTCACCATGCACTAAACTAAAATCAAAATGGATTAAAGATGTAAATATTAAAGCAGAAACAGTAAACCAGCTGGAAGAGAGCTTGGGTAGAACTTTGGAAGACACTAGTGTAGGAAAAGAGTTTATTAGGAAAACCTCAGTTGCCCATCACTGGTTTTTTATTTTTTTCTTTTCTCTTTCTTCCTTGCTTCCTTCCTTTCTTCCTTCCTTCCTTCCTTCCTTCCTTTCTTTCTTTCTTTCTTTCTTTTCTTTCCTTTTCTGGTATTGGGGATCAAACTCTGGACCTTGGTCTTGGGAGGCAGGCAACAGAACCACTGAGCTAAATCCCCATCTCAACATCACTGGTTATTTGAGAGATGCAAATAAAAACAACGCTGAGATTCTACCCCCGCTCAAAAAATTGCTGCTATCATGAAATCAACCAACAGCAAATGCTGGCAGGGCTGCAGGGAAAAAGGAATCCTTCACTCTTGGTGGGCATGTAGACTGGTGCAACCACTGTGGAAATCAGTACAGAGATACCTTGAAGAACTTGGCCCAGGTCTTATTTTACCCAGCTATTTTCTAAAGCTGAGTATCTTCCCAAAATAATTCAAAGAATCACACCACAGCAGTATTTGTGCACCCATGTTCATAGCATCACAACTTGTAATAGCTAAAACTAGGAAACAGCCCAGTTGCCCATCAACTGGACAGTGCATAAAGAAAATGTTTTTTTTTTTAAATAAAATGGAGTCCCACTCAGCCATAAATAATGGGAAATTAGAGATATTTATAGCTAAATGGATGCACACAGAGGTGACGCTCTTAAGGAAATAGGACAGACATGTAAATACTGAATAGTTTCTGTGATGTGACAAACAACATGTAAATAAGGATTAGAAGGGATAAAAGATAATGTGAAATAGGAAGAAAAAGTGCAAAGCAGAAGGGGAAGTAGAAGGGTTTTAGGGGAAAGGAAAGAAGGGAATGAAATTGATATGAGAAGAGAAAAAAATGGAAACAAAGTATGTAAATAGGAAGGGGTGGAGGGGTTGAAAGGAGAGCAAGGAAATGGGGAAATATAAGAATGAAGATATATAATTAAACATACAACTTTCCAATGATGAATGTCATATTGTATGCCAAAAAGTTACCAATAAACTAAAAAAAATAAATTATTTAATCATTTTTTTAAGTCTTACAATAAGTTGGTAACAGGTCAACAGCTTCCATTCGAATAAAACTAATGTTGAGAGATATCACTCGGAAAAGAGTTTTCTTTTAATTAAAAAATATTATGACAATTTGAACAATATTTCTTTTGTTTTCCTTTATACATTGTTTACAATAAAGAATTTCCTTTGGTATTAAAAAAAACCTACAAAGCTAAAGAAACAGTTAAGAATGCATAGGCCAAATTATAAGGTTAGCAGGATTGTTATGAATATAGCCAAGAAAGAGGAGAATTCCAGGGGACTTCAGAATCCAACATAGTAGTCATTTTGTACAGTTTAGAAATTATGAGCTATTTCAAGGTTGATCTGGTAGATCCCAGTAAAAGAAGTCCAGCACATTTCTCTGTGCTTCCCCTGGGAATAAATAGCAGTGATTGATACTCTAAATAGGTTTCAATTACCTGAGTGGAGTGCCAAGATCTTAACCCAGCCTTTCCAGGAAATATCCTGACCCCCACCCTCACTGAAAATCCTTCTATGGGCTTGCTATATGAATTGCTTTCCCCCATTTGACCCCCGCTTAATCCATATCACCTGGGTAACTGTACTTGTAATCTTACTGGTTGGTCATGATTTGCCCCACCTCATCCTCACCTTGTAATTTTCCATTGGGCCTTACAGTTTTGTCCCACTTTTACACACCTCACCACATGGCTTTGCTGTATAACATCTTTGAAAATGGGTGAGTGCTCAACCCATTTTCCTGTCCTCCTTCTGTCTCTCTTGGAAGTTTTCTTTCCCTCAATAAATATTTCCTACTCTTAAAAAATAAAAAAAGAACCTACAAATGTGTAAGTAGACTCTGATCTTATATAAATTCACTCATGATAAAAATATCATTTTTTATTTCCTAATAAGAGCCTTGTCCTTCAGTAAATTCAAAGAAATGTCATTTTATTACTTCACACAACTCAACACTATGAGTTACTACTAGTGCACATTAATATTTATCCATAATTCTATTCCACATAACTTTGCAACCAAATGAGAAAGACACATGAGAGGCATTAGATATTTAATCACTTAATAGGGATCCTCAGAATTTTGGCACACTGTAGCAAAACAATGAAATGATTGATTTGGGAAAGGTAGTTTGACTACAAATTACACTCTGAGATATTTAGTTCCAAAATTTCAAATATGAGTTATTTTTACTATAATCCATGGTAGTTCATTCAGAGATTGATAATTTTTTTTTGCTTTGCTTTTTCATTTTTGTTATTGTTTTTTAATGGTACATTTTAGGCATAAATACAGTTACATTTCATCACTGGGATTTTGTACCTTTACATGACGTATCTTGGTTCTTATTTCTGCCAGCTTTGCTTTTTCATTTTTGTTATTGTTTTTTAATGGTACATTTTAGGCATGAATGCAGTTACATTTCATCACTGGGATTTTGTACCTTTACATGACGTATCTTGGTTCTTATTTCTGCCCCATTTCCCTGGCCTCCCTTCACTCCCGGTTATTGTGTTGCTGTTGTATCACTTGGACTAAGGTGTGACTGATCTAATCAGTTTTCCTTCTTTATCATTATAATGGTAAATTTTTTAGATCATTCATGCAAGTCAATTTTACAACTTTACTCCTCACTTCCTTCTCCAAGTTACAATCTTCTAGAATATTCAGGGTCTGTATTCAGGAGAGAGCATTTTGGGGAAAGTGGACTGAATCCACTAGCTATGTACATATGAGAAAATTTTAACTTCTAATTTTAGAGTTTTTATATTTGAAAAGTCAAGCACAATAATTTTTCACTTATATGCGATAATTAAAATATCATTTATGAATAATTTGTTGAGGTATCCTCATCTCTGACATGTAATTCCCATTTTTAATGAATGGATTAATAAGTTTTCCTGCAATCTCAAAAATGTATACATGAGTCTAACTAAGTCTTCATGTAATATAATTTTCTTTTGAATTTATTCATGTGCCAAGTAAATGGTAAATTATGTGTTTTTGCTAACATTTATTTTTGGTTCTTCTCTTATAGTACTGTCTATAAGTTTCAAGGTATGAACTCATTATAACTATGTGAGTGAGTTTGATGCTTTTGAACATTGATTAATCATGCTTTGATCTTCTTCACCTGTTACAGAGATGAAACAAAAATATATGGATTGATGGATTAAGAATTTAAAAAGTACATACTGGCCACCAAGAATCTCTACATGCAGAAACATCAGCAAGGTAATACTAATAAATATTATTATTGTAATTATATTAAGATATACTTATAAAGTATAAAGCATATTTATAAAGTGTTGGTCTGTTTTCTAAGTGCTTGGAGTTCACATAGTTGCAAATAAAGCAGGAAAAATAGGGAAAGGGCGATCTTCAGAGGGAAAAGAGTACATACTAAGGAGCAAGACTGAAAAAAAAGGCACATGCTCCAAATGTGCATAAGATCATGTGATTCCAAGAATAATTGTCCCTTATCATTTAAACAATTATTCTACAAATTTTAATTTACTTTTTTCATTTCTTTTTAAAAGTTTCTGAAAAATGAAACAAAATGATGTTATTTATATGATATATTACTCATTCAAATATCATGTTTAACCAAATACATGCTAAAAATGCTTTAGTTTTCCATATTAAGTATGGATTTTATTTGCATATGCCAGTCTAGTGGGTGACACCTGCCAGCAGAAGAACTACTCATTTTCTCCAGTTGAAAAATGGCCTGAGTATATTTAAGAAATTTTTTTGACACTATACTCTTATGATAGTACACAGCAAATTATGAGTAGAAAAAATATACTGAGTATTAGGAACCATAAGAAATAAAATATCAGCAATGTGTGATTATTTGTGTTCTGGAAATTTACAACATGAAGTAATTAAATATTAACTACAAGTAAATAAAAATGGAACTGGCTAAACTGTGGGTGAAAAGAACAGAAAAGGTGGAGGTTTGGGAAAGAAAGAAATATTTCCCTCATTGATCCTAGACCTCAGAATAATATGAAAAATGCACTGAATGTCAAAAAGTAAGCTTAATTTCTGTCCTCAGGGACTTTTGTAAGAGCACAAATGCCCATCTTTCTTGTTACAGTGAGCCCTTCAATGGCTTCTTGTTTTCTTTTACCCAAACTGCACATTTACCATTCTTTGCTATCACACCCTTTCCACCCTGCCCAATTATGAGCTGCTCCTTTCACTTCCTCTGGTTGGGTATCACCGTCCTTCTTAGGCTACATTTAACACAGGAAAATAGCTCATTTACAAATAAAACTTTATCTTTCCCAGGCTGATAAAGAAATGTTGCAGAAGAAAAAAACCCTTCCTTGGCTCTCAAAATCCCAGCTTCCTATGGCACAAGGGAGTTGGGGTAGAGCAGTCTAAATGTACTAAAATATGGAGAAAAAATTTACTTCTTATACCAAAATTGATCTTTATGTACTAATAACCTGAAAATTATTATGCTGAGTCAGGATGAAATATCAGCGCCTGAGGCATGCTTACCTTATCCCACAGCACCAGTGGTGGAAAAAGATAAATTTCACCATAATTCCAGTGAATATGATAAATATTTAAAAGCACATTATTGTTTTGATATAAACACAAATTTAACACAAAAAATAATTGGTAGAAAATGGCTTTGATATTTACACATGTGTGACTTATTTATTTCACTTAGGCGTATATCCTCAATATGTATCCATTTTCCTATGAATGAATCTTATTTCTCATTCTTTATGGCTGAGTGGTATTCCATTTTATAGAAAGACCACATCTTCTTTATCCAATTTCCAATGGCAAATGGGCTGTTTCCAAATTTTAGCTATTACAAACTGTGCTGCTATAACCATGGGTGCACATATATCACTGTGATATGATTCTTTTAATTCTTTTGGAAAGATACCAGGCAGAGGGATGGCTGGGTCAAATGGAACCTCTAGTCCCAGCTCTATGAGGTATCTCCATATTGATTTCCATAGTGGTTGCACCAGTCTGCACTCCCACTAACAACGGAGAAGGATTGCTTTCTCCCCGCAACCCCACCAACATTTGTTATTGGTCGATTTCTTGATAGCAGCCATTCTTTGTGGAGTGAGGTGGAATCTCAATGTTGTTTTCATCTGCATCTCTCGAAATACCAGTGATGTGGAACATTTTTTCATATATTTACTTGCTGCTTTTACTTCTTTGTCTGAGAAAGGTCTGTTCATTCCAGATGCACATTTTTGAATTGTGCAAATACTGAATAATTTCCCTGGTGTGAAAAGCTATAAGAGTACATAAGATCCTAATGGTATAATTGAGAATGTGAAATAGGAAGAAAAGGGCTAAAGGTGTAGGGAAAATGGGAAGGGTAGGGGAAAGGTAATAAGGGAAAAGAAAAAATATAACAAAATGAAAAAATGGAAATAAAGTGTTTGTAAGTGGGGGGGGTGAAGGGAAGGCAGGGACAAGGGGAGAAAATGAGAACCAAGACCTGTCATTTAAAGGTACAAGTTCCCAATAATGAATGTAATTGTACTATATACCTAAAATGTACCAATAAACTCAATAAAAGAAAAGAAATGGCTTTGGGGTTGACTTCCATAGGGATAACATAAATAAGGTGAATAAAACAATAATTAAAATAGGAGGAGGTAAACTTCCTCCAGCACTGTTTTAATGATGTTCACATTCCAAGAGCTCTCCTATCTCCTCAGGGCAAAGGCTAGAAAGACCTTTCCTGACTCTCAGACACATAGTGATGGCATTTCATTTTGGTTGTCAAGTGAACAGTTTAGATAACAAATACATTTGGAAATATACAAAAGCATTTTGCTTTTCAGTTTCAAAAATATAGGAATGATCAATTTCAGAATTTTTTTTGTTTTTTTTGTGTATGAGAACATTTGAATATTTGAAATAAAAGCACATTTAAAAAATTAAGATCCTTTTGATGAATTTTAGTCAAAAAGAAACATGCATTACATTTTTCTTTGTGTTAGGTCATAGACTGAAGGTGAAATGATTTTGGGGTGTCTTGCTCTTTGTGACACTGGTACAGAGTATTAAGTCATAACTGCTTCATGATAACTCATTTTAGGGTGTATATTCCATGCCAACAAGTACCAGTTTGTTCTTTTCTGCTGTAGAATGCTGAGCATGTTGCTTGAACTGGCCTTGTGCCTCAGCAGCACTCTCAGAATGGCTGCTGGGAACCATACAGTCCCTAGGACTTTGTCAGTTCTAGTGAACATTCCTCCAGGATGGTTTGAATGTAGTGATTTCACTGTAAGAATGAACATTTCACTTGCAGTATGTCCTCCAGTGGGCTAATTCCTTCAGTTTAATTATTTCATTGGTAGTTTTCAATACTGTCTGTGCATTTGAAACCCAGAAATTCTGATTAAATTGGTTGTGAGTAAAACTCAGTTGTACTGCTCTTGTTTTTAGCTCCTCATGTGATTTAATATTCAGCACATGTAGAAAACTCTGCATCAGATGATTCAGGCCCATTCACTCATGGAAAGAGAGCGGAGCATGTTAACTGTGGCCTTTAAACATTTGCCACAGACTTGGCCAGTCTACTTACTCCCTGTGTCTGAAAGGATTCACAAAATTTTACCTTCTAAACTTTGCTTAATTTGTAATAGTAATTTTGGCTTTGTGCTATCTCTCCTGCTTTTGATCTAAGAGTTCAAATTTCTGGTGTGTGTGGATATACAATAGTCAAACTGTAATTCACCTAAGCATTACTGCCTGTGACTCAAGGCCAGCCTCTTCTCTCAGCCACAGATTAGACTATAGTCCACACAACACTAGGCAGATAGACTTGAAAAGTGATTTTTACATTTAGTCAGTCATAGTACACACCTTTCAGTTAAAGTTTTTGCAACCACAATATCTTGTACCTGCTCCAAAGAGCCAATGATTCAATAAAAATACATTAATATTATCATGTGTAACTCTTATTAAAGCAAATAGACCTTTGATCAAAAAGTATATAATCACTTAAAATTAAACATTGTAAGTCATCTCTGTTTTTTCTTCCTTGTAAAGTGATTCTAATTAGGTTGACCCTATCTTTTATTAAAAAGTGTAAGTACTTTGAAGGATGTAAAATTCTGGTGCAAAAATGATAATTGTCATGGTAGATTGCTACATTGAATATGGTGATATATATATTAAGAATACAATTTGGTAACAGGTCCATAGGATAGTAGAAAGTGTTGGAAATAAAAGCAAGTTTTTTCAAAAAAAATATATGAATAGCTCAAAATTTTATTTGAAAGGAAACAAATCTTTATTCTAAGATTTGCATTTTAATTGTTTTATATGGTGAGTACCCCACCATGAGGAGTTTTATTGAATGCAAATATGTAGGTACTGAAAATTTATGTCATGGCATTAATATTCCTTTTAGACTCTTCAGCTATTATCAAAACAAATACTCAAGTATAAGACTTTTTAATGCAAGTAGTGAGTTTTTTATTTAACAAACAGCTTTGAAGTAACACCAAAATAATACAAGTTCTGATAATAATTCACGAAGCTTAATAATCTGCATTTTCATTATACATGGGTGAGAACCCATTGTATTTTAAGATTTTTCAGTATATTTTGGCAGGTTTATAGTAGGCTCAGATATATTATTTGGAGTCAGCTACAGGGTCATGTTATCATCTCTATATAGTAGCACGGACACATATGAAATCCTTTAATCACTTCATAGGATTAGGCAATTGATAATATGATGATACTTTCTGTTCATGACTTACACTACTTAAGAGGAAGTTCCAATGATATTTCCAAACTAAAAAAAAAAAAAAAAATTCCAAACTGAACTAGAAGGTAGTCACTGAAACAGAAAAATCCAACCAGTTATGGAGGTTGTATAATTATATTGCTTGGATACTTTGAAGTAATAGAAACCAGCTTGAGATACTTCTTATGTCATTAGTTAAGTTAATAATAAAGGGTTTGGGACATACAGTAATATTGAGGAAGATAAATTTTTCTAGTCTTCACTTAGCTAATGATAGCAGAGAAAATCATCAGAACCTTACATCTTCCTTTTTTATTCTCCCCTTGCTTTATTTTTTCTTGAGTTTATTGGTACATTTTAGGTATAGAGTACAATTACATTCATATTGGGATCTTGTACCTTTACATGACAGGTCTTGGTTCTCATTTTTTCTTCTTGTCCCTGCCCCCCCTTCACCCCCTCCTCCCCTCTAAATTTACAT